GAGATTTTGATTTGAACTTTTTTCCCAGCTAATATTAGTCCCATTGCAAGGGGTTAGTCTAATAGTCTTGAACTTTAAATTAAAAGGGGTAAAATTTTGATTTTTGCTGAAAGGTTCCCCCTCCTCTTAATCTCTCTTGGCCAAGCCCCTCCCCCTTGCGAGCACCGAGTTCGCTTGCATCCCAAGCATGCGCAAGGTCTACACACAGGGAATCAATCCCGTTGGCTAATCATTTCAAGCGAGGTCGTAGCCCTAAGATTCCGCGCCGATTTTAGCTTCGTCTCCGCTCGGGCGGGAATTTTGTCATTTCCGGTCGTCGTTAGCGCACGGATATAGCCATTGGGCATTTGATAATGTGTACTGCAGTAGGCTACACCAATACGTGTGCAGACATAAAATGGTAGGAATAATTCCTCTACACGTGACGCCTATTAGCTAGGCATTTGATGTCTCCGTTCACGGAAGGGAAAATCATTATCTTTTTGTCGAGGTAGACGCCACGCAACTTCGCCAAACATATTTCGTTGAGTGAGGAATGCAAGTGCAACCATGTTAGTTGATGAAATGATACAGCCTCCCCCCTCTCCACTATGGAAACAACTTTGTGATGAGCGAAAACTTGAGCAAGCAAGCTTTCCAAGAAGACCACCTACAAAAATAGCCTGATGGTCGTTTTTGGCCTGGTGAAAGTTAGTAATTTAAGCGAACAAAATTAATGTTTGCACATGTGTTCCTTTTACGACATGACGACGTAATGCCCCAATGAAGGAGGTGCAATATGAGACTAATGAACGTGAAATCATTACGAACAACTTAATTCTCTACAGCATCGCACATAATTATTTTGGTGCTGTTTAGTATGCGCATTCCCACGTTCTCAGACGACTGATTTGACTCACCGGCATGAAATGGTGATTCGATCTACTCGTTCGGTTGGACGAAATGAAATTCACTGAGTGAATTCATAACGCTTAATTACGTGCCCACAAAAGGTCTTCCCTTGGGTGCCATCTTTGAAAATTTGACGATCCAAATCGTAAACCGGCGTTCCAGAGTTACGTTGGAAAAATATTACGCAAAAACAAAATGTATAGGATAGTAAGCACGGGCTTGACGAAAGTGATGTAGTCGAGTACTTATTGAGAACCAAGTTCTCTACCAAATATTTAACTAGTTAGGAGGGAACAAAGCTGAAGTACATCGGCATTTGATGGTACGTGCATAAAGGTAAGATTACAAAGCCTTCAGACCATCACTGTTTGATTAAAATTAACTTTTTAGGACAAAAGTACTCGGAAAGTACTCGGCCGAGTTTCTGGCTTTATTCCCTCATAACCAGTTCAGTATTTTGCGGAGAACGTTGGTACTCGGAAAGTACTCGACTACAACACTGCTTGACGAGAATATGCTTTCATGTACTACGTGACGGAGTTTTTGTTCAAGCCTCGCAATTCATGCATGTTACAAAAGGCGATATTGTGAGTGTTACGCAAGGACATCATGGGCCGCACACAACGAGGTTTGCTTAACAAGAACTCGGTGCGCGTAGCCAAATTTCGTGCAGTACTGCTATTT